GTGGACAGTCCAGGGCCAGGTAGGCGCAAAAAGGTCACCAGGAGTCTGTCCCTCTGTTGCTGGCGTAATGCGAGTAGCAGTGAGCGAACAAACTAACAAAGAAATATCAGCACAGTTGAGGTCATTCTGGGAGCTCGAACACATTGGTATCCAGGAACACGAACCAGCTCGCCACCAAGACGCAATACAACAGCACTACAAAGAAACCGTCAAATTTGAGCATGGGCGGTACACAGTGTCTTTCCCCTGGAAGCCTATGGTTGATGAGCTCGACGACAACTACGAGTGCGCCGCGAAGCGTCTTAGAGCCAACACGACGCGCCTTTTGAAGGGAGATTCCTTGATCGTGGAATATGACGCCTGCCTCCGAGAATACATCGAAAAGGGCTATGCAGAGCCAGCCAACAAGCATTGCAGCGCTTCGGAAGGTCCGGTGTATTACATGCCACATCAAGCAGTTGTTCGACAAGAAAGCCTGACAACAAAAGTGAGGGTGGTGTTCGACGCATCATCAAGTGCCAAAGATCGCCTCTCACTGAATGATGTTTTGGAAAGTGGTCCAAAACTTAATCCAGAGCTCATTGATTTGTTGATCAACTTCCGCACTTACAACATCGGCATCGTCGCGGATATTGAAAAGGCATTCCTTCAAATATCTCTGTCAGAGGGTGACCGGAACGCTGTGCGGTTTCTCTGGTATGCTGCCACTCCGAAGAAAGGTGAAGAACTTCCAGCGGTGGCGGCCTACCGGATGACGCGCGTTCCGTTCGGTGTTACATCCAGCCCATTCCTATTAGCCGCAACATTACGACACCATCTTGAAGGACTCCCAGAGCAGTATGCTGAGACTGCGAACATCCTGCGCAGCCATCTCTATGTTGACGACCTTGTGACAGGGGTCGACACCCTCGAACAGGGTAAAGTGCTATGCCAGGAATCAAGCGATATATTATCTCAAGCAGGAATGCGGCTCCACAAGTGGATGTCTAACGACCACGATTTAGTCAACTTCATAGAGGATGGGAACGTGGCGAAGAGGAATGCAAATGCCGAACTTCCTGCAGCCACCAAGGTATTGGGAGTAGGTTGGAATGCTCATACAGATAACTTCGAGTACAATCTGACCTCACTTCTTGAATTCCTCACCACCAGAGCCGACAGCAAGAGATTCGTATTGCAAGTCTCAGCCAGAATTTTCGACCCCTTTGGGTTTATCGCTCCTACAACACTGTACGTAAAGACAATGTTCCAAAGGTTGTGGGAGTTGGGAGCGGGTTGGGACGACCCCTTGCCAGAATTGATGCAAGCGGAGTGGAAGTGCTGGTGTGAAGAGCTTCAATGCATCAAGGCGGTGTCCATTCCGAGGATCATCGCAAGGGATTTCCGAGATGAAAAGACAGAGAAGGTGTTGCACATTTTCTGCGATGCCAGCCCAAAGGCCTACGGTGCTGTCGGATACGTTGCATGCAAGTCTGCTCAAGGAATAATCAATATAAGCCTAATTATGGCCAAATCAAGAGTTGCCCCTTTGAAGCGCCTCTCGTTACCCCGACTAGAGCTGATGGGGGCCCTCATTGGTGCTCGACTGTGCCACTACGTTGCCAAGGCCTTGAACCTCCAGAATGCTGCTGCCATCCTTTGGACCGATTCCACAGTGGCTATGCACTGGATTAAAGGAAACGCTGCCAGATGGAAGCCCTTCGTGGCAAACCGAGTATCAGAGGTTCAGGCGCTGACTGATCCCGAGGATTGGAGGCACTGCCCAGGACTAGACAACCCCGCTGACCTAATCACTCGCGGTATCCTCCCATCAGCCTTGTTAGAAAGCGAATTGTGGTGGAGAGGACCACACTGGCTTCACAAGGATAAGACGCATTGGCCAACGACCGGTGAGCAGAGCCCAGGGGCAGTAGAATGTCACCTGGAAGAGCGAAAAGTGACGGTGATGCCCGTAATATCATCGCCGTTCGAGGCAGTGCTGAAAGTAGAGGAGTTCAGCTCATGCAGCAGAGTCGTGCGCTTAACTGCGTGGGTCCGCCGCTTTGTCAACAATTGCCGCCGCGGGAAAGAAAGGAAAGGTGGTCCGCTACGAGCTGAAGAGGTGATCGATGCTGAGAGGTACTGGTTGACAACAACTCAAGGAGAAGCATTCAGTGACGACATTTCCAACTTGAAAGCCCAAAGACCACTGCACAAAGGCTCTCCTGTTCTGCCACTCAGTCCGTACCTTGACGGGGAAGGTCTCATGCGAGTTGGTGGACGCTTGCAATTCACCGACAACCACGAAGAGACTAAACATCCCATCATTCTACCTAGCACTCATCCCTTCACGCTACTGCTCATAAGGAAAGAGCACGTGAGAATGCTACACTCAGGGGTGCGCGACACCTTGGCGTCATTGCGAGAGTCGTATTGGATCATCCGAGGGCGCCAGGCCGTAAAAAAGGTTATCAAGCAGTGCCTCATCTGTCGCAAACAAAGTTGCCCTCAAGCCACGGAACCAGTGGCACCACTTCCAGCTGACAGAGTAACAGAAGGAAATCCGTTCGACACTGTCGGCATCGATTTCGCAGGACCTTTGATTTGTCAAGAGTCGCGCGGTGCCCGAAAATGTTACATCGCAATTTTAACCTGCGCTGTGACACGTGCCGTCCATCTTGAGCTCGTTAGCGACATGTCGACTACAGCCTTTCTCCTGGCTTTCAAGCGCTTCGTGGCTCGCAGGGGAATCTGCTCGACTATTTATTCGGACAACGCGCTAACCTTCAAGAGAGCAGCAAAAGATCTGAATGCAATGTTCACGCTACTAAAATCAGAGGAAATGCAGTCATACTTCGCCGGAAACCAGATCAGGTGGAAGTTTATTGTTGAAAGGGCAGCTTGGTGGGGCGGATTCTGGGAACGGTTGGTGCGATCGGTGAAGGTAGCGTTGCGCAAGGTGTTAGGTCGGAGCAGTTTAAGCTTTGAAGAACTCACAACTGTCTTGTACGAAGTCGAGGCCGTAATAAACTCACGCCCATTGACTTTCACCTACGATGATGCTCAAGAGCCAGAACCACTGTCGCCGGCGCACTTCCTCGTCGGAAGAAAGCTGACAACCCTTCCTCCACACCACCTGCCAGCCGAAATTCCGGGCGGTGACGCGCATATCTCACGACGCTGGAAGTACCGGTCTGCCATGGCTGAAGGATTCTGGAGACGGTGGCGGAGAGAGTACTTATTGGAGCTTCGATCGGCGCATCTGTCCCGGCCAACGACATCGAGTGACCTAAAGATAGACGATTTAGTTCTTTTAAAGGAAGATCATCTCAAACGACACATGTGGAAGATCGCCAGAATCAAGGAAACGTTCAAGGGCAGGGACGGCAGGGTGCGGGCCTGCAGTTTGAAACTAAGCGGGGGAACGGTGGTGAAACGACCAATACAGCTGCTTTATCCGCTAGAAGTCGACCGACAATGAGCTCAAGAGTTCGCTCATCCGGGGGAGGTTGTTGTATTTGTCGCATACTGGGAAGCAGCCCCCGCTTCGGGGGAGCGTTAATTGAAAGACTCCGCGGCGAAGAGGGGGAGGAGGGGCAACTCGGAGGGACTCGTCTCCGGGTGGTTCGCGTGACGGGCAATGCGAAAGGAGCGAAGGGCGTCCTTGACATCTGTTTTTACCTACAAGCCCAGCCGTGAAGGGAAAAGGGGGTGAGGGCCACAATGACCCTTCTCGAACACGCGGAAAGCGTTTTGTCCATCTGTCCTTGAAGACCGTCGCACGTGCGGGGTGCGGAGGAAACTCTTTGACAATACTTGTGCTTCTCTGTTTGCTTTTCCTTTTTTTCTTCCCCTCTCTACGACAGCGGTACATAGCGAACGAATAAACCAGTCTTCGTGATGCGTTCAAACTGAAAGGACGTGTTTTTTCTCTGTCGTCGTCTCACTAGAAAAAGTCTGCCTCCCTGCTATTCCGCTACAACAACTGCAACCACAACTGACGTTTCGCGAACATTAAGGTCTGTTTAAAAAATAGTTCCGAGACCTGGTGTACCTCTGTGGTAGAATGCTTGATTGCCGCGCAGAATGCTTGGGTTCGATTCCTGCTGGGACCCTGAAATTCATTCTTTGAATCAGCTGAGTGAACATTGTTGATGTCAGGTTTTTTTTAACGCTCACACGTTAAAATCGCGCATGTGTGTTCTCGTCGTTCCTGGGTAGATATTAAGTTTCATTCACCTGTGGCACGTACCAGCATACCAGTGGCACTTTCCCACCCGCGGGTAGCTGCCACTGTCTGGCGGGAAGTTTTTGACGACGTACGTGACGGGATTGTGACGTTATTTGTGTGTTGACCAGCGTGTCATATTCGTCAAAGCATCTTACCCGCACCTACTAATTTTGGTACATGACAAGTTAAGGGGGTGATCACCAGAGCACCCAAATTTAAGCAGCTAGATAGACAGATTGATAGATAGATAGATAGATAGATAGATAGATAGATAGATAGATAGATAGATAGATAGATAGATAGATAGATAGATAGATAGATAGATAGATAGATAGATATGCAAATGAATGCCAAAAGTGCTTGCAGTACGCAAATAGATGTTTCGCATTTAGAATTGAACTTGTCTTATACCGAACGCATATAGAAGCCTGTGCTTGTGAGCAGACGACCAGTCCGACGAGATCAGGGATATCCGAGCATTCCGTTCAGCCACTCTCTTGTTTCGACAGCAAAATAGCCTGCAGTGTACTTGTCTCTGATGCTGTCTTCACGAAGCTGTCCATAATTCCGAATTGCTATCTGCTTATCTGTTTATTTAGCCACCTGTGGTAAGTATTGGAACCACAGCCTAAGCTAAGAATTATGTTCGTCTTGACACTTATGTGTCCCTGATAATGTGACACTAATCAAGTGAGGACCAAACCCGCATCAGCACCGAAAATTCTATTGTTACTACTTCGTACGCCTCATAGAACTTGAGCGTTCGCATTTCTACAGTTGAAGCACTCACCCTTTGAAACGCAATTGATGTCGTTCTTGATGTCCGAGTCGAGATTGAACATTTCCGAGGACTCTTTACCGGTAATAGATTCGGAACTTTCCTGTAGGGCGCCCTCGCGGGCGTCCATCATGAGCTGGAGAAAGTCTTCCTGGCGCTAGAAGAATAAATAATAAACAAATAATAGGTAAAATATGGTGACAGTTAACTTGAAACACCGTCCTTCCGAATGTTTATGACATTTGCAGTGCATTATTCAGTTTCCGAAGGCCGTTGAATAAAATTTTAAGGCTTGAAGCTCTAGTGTATCCCTCTGACCCCCCAAAAAAAATCCAGGGGTGAAAGAGAAAATATCCACTGGCATGAGATTAATAATCTCTCTTTTATATGAGAGCAAGAGTTAACAAAAGAAAATGAAGTGTTCTCTTTCGCTAGACCGCACATAAATGTAGTTGAGCATCATAAAAAAAATTGCTAGATCCCACGTACACTAGGAATCGATGATATGCTAGGCATAAATGAGAATTGTCCATATGTCACTTTAAAATCAGCACAACGTTACGGGTGGAGGTAAATTAGGCCGTACATGACTTCCGTGTCATGATTATCATGTTTGGATCTGTCATTTACCTTTGTAATTTATTCACGTCACGTGATACTAAATTTGGTATATGTGGAGTTAGCGAAATGACCGTAAGCACGCTATAAGCGTGGTATGTTGACATGTTCTTACATGACACGCGTGTCAGGATTGTCATGTTTGCACCAGTCATATATTTCTTCATCCATTGACGTCACGTAACACTAAATTTGGTGTATGTGGAGCTAGCAAAACGGCCGCAAGCGCGTCATGAAAGGCGCAGTATACTCCAATGTAGCGTTGATGCGCGAGCACGCTGGGCACAGCGACGCTACGTTAGCAAAACGCGAGCACTGAATAGTCTGACGCCAGGCGCGACCAGCGTCCGTCGGCGCGGCCCGACGGCAACCGGCGCGAAATGCGACATGCTGCATTTCGTGCTAATGCCATAGAGTCGGATTACTCCAGGCCTATGCGTTACCCAGACAACACTGCGTTTACCTCTTTTCGTGACGGAGGGACGCCGGATGCGCTGAAATGCATGCGCATGCGTCAAAGCAACGCAGCGCGGTGCAGCGCGCGCCTGCGAGTATCTGGCAGGACCAACGCCTGGCATGGCAACGCCGGCAAGTCCGTGCAGCGCGTTTTCTCGAAACGTATTGGCGCCTTGACCGTGGCATGTAGTCATGTTCTCTGCGACACGCATCTCATGATAATTATGTTCGCACCAGTCACATACCTTTGCCATCCATTGGCGTCACGTAATACTAAATTTGGCATATGTGAAGCTAGTGAAATGGCCGCCAGCGCATCATGACCATGGCATGTAGTCATGTTGTTCCATGACACGCATATCATGCTTTCCATGTTAGGGCCTGTCGCTTGTGTTCGCCATGCAATCATGTCATGTCATACCAGTTTTGCCACATGCCATGTGAACGAAACCACCGCAAGAGCTGCAGGACCATGAAATGTAAATCATGACATTCATGACATACCTGTCATGACTTTCATGTTCTGACTAGTCAAATATGTTCTTCATACAGTCTAGTTATGCCATACCAAGTTTGGTATCGATACCGTTATCGAAACGGCCAGGAGAGCTGAAAGCCGTAGGTGGCTTAAGATAGATAGATAGATAGATAGATAGATAGATAGATAGATAGATAGATAGATAGATAGATAGATAGATAGATAGATAGATAGATAGATAGATAGATAGATAGATAGATAGATAGATAGATAGATAGATAGATAGATAGATAGATAGATAGATAGATAGATAGATAGATAGATAGATAGATAGATAGATACGCTCGAATCCGCCGAAGTTCGCTAAGGAACGCTTTGCACTTACTTGACTTCTTTATTAAAATTGCCTAAGAAGTGACGCTGTTTCTCATTCATTACGAGGCCAAATTGCTGTGTGGACTTCCGCGGTAGCTAATAGCCTTAAAGGCAATTTTCGATTATTCTACTATAAAGGCCTAGTTCAAGAAAATTTAGGCAACAACCGCGTAGGTCTTGAAATGCACAAAATAATACCCGTGAGGTTCGAACTGTAAGTGGTGTGCGCACTTTCATTTTACCATCTTTCAAATGCCACGTGGGCATATTTTTGTCCTTAACGCTTAGAGTGTGAATCACTCGTCGTGACCAGCCTGCAGCCCCCTTCCTTCATCTTGTTTCACTTGTTGGTATAATCGGGCATTTCATGCAATCACGATAATGAACTATGCGATTTGCGGAACTGGCTTGCTAGCCGCAAAAACAAACAAAGAAAAAAAAAACACTTTCGTACGTGAAGCATCGTCTAATCAGTTTCAGTTTCTAAGCGAGATGACAAGGCAGTCTCGAACACTTTCACAACTAATTCAGTACGGAAAGCAAGCTCTACTTACGCATTCTTTTTGCTTTCTCTTTTGAATAATGCTCAGCGAAACGTCCTTGAAGTACTGAAACGCATCTGAGTTGAGCGGCTTTATTTTCAGGACCTTCATTAAGCCAGGGAACAGAACTGTAAGAGAAACGCGCACATATGCGCGTATGCGTTGACGTGAGCACTTTCCCTCTTATACTGTCCTTAAAACAATTAGGTTGTAATGAAAAAGAGTCTGAAAGGTCAAGTGCTTACAGAACAGCACAAGAGGAAGAGTAATTCCACCGGAGAACGCTTTTCTTGCTTTTGCCACGAATTCATTGGTCGCGTCGCTGTGAGAGTCCAGCTTTGTGCCGAATGCGCACCTCGCGATGACATCCAGGGCGTAGTGGCTGTAAAACCTGCAGTGCGACACCACTTAACAAAACTGCACAGCTTTAGAACGCACTAATTGTTTACCTCACGAATACGCTGCCCTTTTGCAGATAAAAAAAAGAGACAACTGTAACGGTAGAAGGAGAAGCTGGAAGGATATAGCTCAAGTTTCAGTGCAGTTGTACCTCAAATTTTATTAAAACGGCTGCAATGTGTCTTTTTTAATGTTTATGTCTGAGAAGACTGCCGTCTTTTAAAAAAGATACCAAGCAAAGGACGTGCATGTTTAGTTCATGAAAGGTATAAATAACATGGCCATTGATATCTTTATTGCTTCGCAGTGTGGTTGAATAAATTGCACTTGTTCCTATGAAACGCCACATGCGAAGATTATTATTTGGTATGTTGGTAAAGGGATGCTTTTGCATGAACTTCGATTATTCAATATTCTGAGGTGCGTAATGTGTTTAGAAAAAAAAAATGTTTCCAGAGTACGACGTACTCTACTACGGGAGAGCATTACGCTATCTCGGTTTCGCATCCCGGAGAATTCCCGCGTACTGTTTCACAGAAGTTAGGACAAAGTGATTAGCGTGGCACAGTAAATGTGCAGCCAACGGTTATCGCGAACTGTAGTAAGCCGCTTAGGCAGCTGATCCTCGTTATATAAATTATGGAAGTGACATTCAATGTCGAAACACTATTTAAACATCCAACAACACATTTGCTTCACTTACTCCTTGACGCAAATGTCTTTTTTCTGCTGAGCAGCGTTCTTGAGGTGCGCCGCCGTTATTTCGGCGCAGGCCTGGATCATTTCGTTCATCTGAAACAAAAGTAATTTTTGTTTAGCCATCTAAATGAAAATAAAAATAAATAATAAGAATATCTGCCGTTTCACGTACCAAACCCATATTATTAGGAGACGCCGTAGTAGAGTGCTCCGGAAATTTCGATCATCTGCTGTTCTTTAACGTGCACCTAATTAAATACATTGTTCACGGCACATTGTATGAAACAACTGCGCGCACAGTTTCGAGAATGCTATTTCTGCAGTCATCATGCGATTGTGTGCAGGCCCGCTAGAACATGCTAGCACACGACACTGGGCGAACCTACATATATACATACACACACACACACACACACACACACACACACACAAACACACACACACACACACACACACACACACACACATATATATATATATATATATATATATATATATATATATATATATATATATATATATCATGCTTTTGTGAGGCACTATCGTAATAAAAGAGAGGTGAGGGGGAGGTGAATTCTGGTGACTACGTGATCTAGCATCTGTTGCGTTTGCTCGAGAACATGACTGATGACTTTAATGGCTTTACGAATTTTGATCTCACTGGTAATTTTGTCTGAATTTAAATACGCAAGTCTCGGTTACGGAAGAACGGTCGGATTATTACCGATCGTACGCTTAGGCAATTCGATGTTGCGTGATGTATCGAGTACGTTTCTTCCTATGTATTGTTTACCCTTTTCCTTTTTACAAATAGCTGTGAGACATTCCTGCAAGATATCTTATTGCTCTTACTGCCTTTGTGTGGGCGTGCGTATGTGCTTTGAGGTGGCGGGGGGGAGAAGTTTAAGTCTATACCTACGACAGTTTGACAACTGAACAATTGCCACTGCAACTCGACTGTGTATAATGCACTTAACACGCTGAATGCAAGGTTATTTGCATCAACCACTCTTGGCCTTAATACGCGAAACATAATCCTTCATTTTATTGACTTTATGCCGTAGTAGATACTGGCGCATACAAAAAAATGTAAGGCTCATTTATAATCGCAATGCGTAGCAATTACAACTGGCAAAAGGGGGAGTCTTACATACGCACGGAGCGTCACTTCCAACAATATTTATTGCAAAAGAACTATAGAGTGCACATTAACCATGAGGTTGTTGTGACTGATGATCAATGCTCTGTGCCATTCAACTAAAGCAACTTCTTTGGTGATATTGAGATTGTCGCCATTATCACCACTGTCGTCATCGCGCCTTAACCTTGAAAATACGCTGAGCCAACACACCTCTGTATAGTCTCTTATTAATACATGGACAAGACGATTTGTTACCTCCATTCCGCCACTGTATCTTAATCTCTGAGGCTTGTACACCTTTAGGCGGCTAAAATTAAAACCTGCAAAGTTTCGCTGAACAATGACAAGTGCTGAGATGAGATAGGGTGAGGGGTAAAATGTTTGCTTTGGCAGGAGACTTATTCGTCACCGTCCTTCGCGCATATCTTATACTCACTCTTCGAAGTTTCCCCGTGGTGAATGCCGGACTCGCCGATGGTCTTATCTTTCGCCACCGTTCCACGGGGGCGATGGACATCATGTTGTCGAGAAGTGGGTCGAAGAACTTCAGTTGCTGTAGTAAACAGCCGTGCAAAAGGCAACGGTAGGTTAGAAATCACTGCCCGTCAACTGTTTTTGTCTAAGTGAGTCACAAAACATATCACACATGGCTATTTTGACTGGTTGGAATTGATTCGTGATTAACAAGCGCAAAAAGAAACGCGAGGACAAAGCAGGGAAAAGTTTTCAACTAGCAATAGTCGCTCCTCAGTTGACACTTCAATAAATGCTGATTGATTGATTGATTGATTGATATGTGAATTTTAACGTCCCAAAACCACCATATGATTATGAGAGACGCCGTAGTGGGGGGCTCCGGAAATTTCGACCACCTGGGGTTCTTTAACGTGCACCAAAATCTGAGCACACGGGCATACATTTCCGCCTTCATCGGAAATGCAGCGGCGCAGCTGGGATTCGATCCAGCGACCTGCGGGTCAGCATCCAAGCACCTTAGCCACTAGACCACCGCGGCGGGGCACTTCATTAGATGTGGCACTGCCTCTGCGCGAAGCAAAGAATGCACACAAGAAAGTGTCAGCCCTGTGTGTATTTTCTGCTTTGCTTTTTCGCGCTTCTCATCTTGAACAATGCATATCGCCACAATCCGTGACGCTATTTGCTGGCGCAGTTATCTCCGATTCCGTGCATATACTACACGAAAGATCGAGCGATGAAATATGCGGATACCTGGTGGCAAGCTGCCGTTGTGAAAAAATGTATTATTGAATAACGAATAATAACATCTGCCATTTTACGTCCCAAAACTACGATATCATTATGAGGCACACCGCAGTGTAGGGCTCCGGAATCTTCGACCATCCGATGTTCCTTAATGTGCACTGACATCTCGTAGTACACGGGTGTCAAGCATCACGCCTCCACCAAAATGGGACCGCCGGGATCGAACCCGGGACCTTCTGGTCGGCAGCCGAGCACCACAACCACTGCTCCATCATGGTGGTCTTAGTTAATATTTAGAAACGTTGTACCATCGCATTGATGCCCTGGGTGCTTGCTTGTTTGTTTGTGCTCTCAGCATTGATATTCTTGTTTTTCTGTTTATATTACTTCTACCATACGTTCATTCATTGTCTGTGGACCACTGGCAAGCATAAATATTATCAATACACATAAATAAACAAGTAATCATATAGATAAATACATAACAAATAAATGAATAAATTGCGAAGAAGAAGATGTGCTTCCGTCGAGCAGCACGACAAGGCCCAACGGAAAGTATCGAGAAAATTCGCCTTATACTCGGCCAATGCCCTCTAGCGATTATGAGTCATGTTCAGAGGAAAGCAACAACAACAACAACAACAACGCCCAAATCGTGCATCGGTTTGCTGCTGTGCTGGCCTCTGGACGGTTCTTCACGCTGCCTCGCCGCAGACAACTATAACGTCCTTAGACGACCAATAAACCGCTTCACATTCGAGCGAGCCGGGCCCGGGCGTGGCCATGTTGCTCGCTGGAGGCGTGTCTTCTTCTCGAAATTAATAAATAAATAAGCGAAAAAGCACACTATCTATAAGTGAAGACAGGAGGAACGAACAAGACACCATCGGCACCCCTTATGTCCTCTTCTTGTTCTTCTTGGCCTTCTGTTGTGACTCATTCCCATGCACTGTGGGGGATTGGCCGAAATTGAGCGGTCTTCGCGTGATGCCTTGCTGGCTCCTTTCGCCTGTCCACACTTTTTTCTTCGTGATGTGTTTACCTAATTGAAGCAACATGCTCGCACAATATTCCTATTAAAGTCTATATCGGCTATGTCATCGCTACTCTGGACATGCAGTTAGAATGTTAAAATATCGCATTTTAGCGCTTTGTTGCAAGGGGATAGGAAAGAGAAGCAAAGATTAGGAGAACTGATCTTAGCGTTATGAACAGGGATATGAGGGGACAGGGTAGCATAGAAAGAGATCAAAAGAGGAGGAATATACGAGGACAAGGAGAAGAACAAATGTGAGAAAGATAAGAAAGCAAAAAAAAATCTGAATACGAAGATGGAGTATGAACAAAGAACTCAATCTGCGTTCGCCAAATGGTGCTTGTTAGCTCTGCTGTTTCATCAAGTTTTACAGGCGAGGAAGTGGCTTTAATTTTCCTTTATTTTTGGAATTCAGGGTATGCACGTGCAATAAATGCTTTATACTTACCCTTCGATTACTCAGCAATGGAAAGTCCTTCACGAGCACCTGCTTCACGAGTTCTGGCTCACCGACGAGAAGAGTTGGTTGCGATCCCTCGTAGATGCTAGTAATGTTAAAATGTGAAGTGTCAGCTTTGTAAAAGTCGTCTATTTTGCCTGCAGCAATTTAAGATAGTACGAAGTTTAGCGGGGACGACGTGTAGCACTCACCCAAAAACTCTACCGAACTTCTGGTAACGCCTAGTGTCGTTCTCGTGAAAGGGCTAAGAAAGAACAAACAAAGGAAGGTGTTGAAGTAGGCAGATACAAACAGGCGCAGTTAAAGCCATTTTAACAGACAAGTTCTCCTTTGGGCCTCGTACAATGATTTACGGAAACGAGCTTGATTACAGTGTATTTGTTGGTTGTGAGTCATCTAAAGTTTTCCAGCGTTGTTTGGGACTGATTTGTAAGTAATATTTTACATAATATTTTGTATATTGTGCTCTTTGACCATTTGCGTTTTCCGACAGGTTTGCAACGATAAGTTCTCTGTTAACTTGAATATAAGCGATGAGATAGTACATGCGCAAACTACCATATGATCACGAGGTACGTCGCAGCAAAGGATTATTCGGATATGATGAAAGCCGAACATGGGGACTAATATATGCGCTTAAATTGAAGTACAGAAGTGTGTATACATATTTTCTCAGCTGAAACACCTGGCTTGGGAACAGCTGCTTACACGTTAGCTGCGTACTTTTCCGATGTTAACCTAGTGAACCAACCTATACATTAAGTCGCAACAAAATTATGGCATTCAGTCTGATTGATGCGAAGTAAACTTGACGACGTAAGATTATCAAATTTATACTGTGAAGCAGAGGTTTAAGGTGGCCGCATCAATGAGGCAATTTTCGAACACGACTTTTCTTTCATGAAGGTGCTCGACACAGTAAATCGCATCACCTGTTGAGGCATGCATTCAATAGGCACGTCGTGCAGATCACACGCAGCGTGAGAGAGAGAGAATTAACTTTAATAAGCTTCAGCGCTCGAACAACTTTGAGAACTTGTGCGCGAGGAAGTTAGTTTTGCTCGGAAGAAAGCGATGCAATTGAAATTGTGTTATCGATGCTCATTCACCCATAATAAACGAATAGCAAAGCTACGTAACATTAAATGCTGAGTGCTTCCCAGAAACAACTGAATTGTCTCAGAATACTCATCATAGATTTTGACGTAAGCGCGTGTAACAACTAACAATATCCTAGTTCTTTTTACAATGTCAAGCACGCATCAATACATCAGAACACGAAGCGATATTTGGAGCCGAGAAACTTCCAACTTCTCGTTTTCTAACCCGGCTCTGCAGAAACTCACAAGGATTCCGCTCCCTGCATGCTTTGAGGTGACCGCGCGAGCGCCTCTCATGGTCTGTGGACACGCCTCTGTCCACTTCCTACACACCACCATTCTTGCTCCCAGCCACGAGCTCCTCTCTAGAGGAGGTCGTGCTTCCCGCCTACCTACATCACCCGCTGCCCTTCCTACCCTGGAGTTCAGGGTTGTTGAATTCGGCCACTGTATAGACACATGCAACGTATACGTTCATTTACACGTGTGGCTTTCGCTGAGGCCGCCAGAGCTGAGGCCACTTCCCAATGGCGGAGGCGAAAAGGGGGTAGGGGAAGGGCTATGTTTGCTGTCCTGCTCGCTGGCTATGCCACTGCCACTATCTCCTTATATATATTGGCGAAAGCGTTTTATGTCCCGCTAATAATTTGTCGAACTATTGCGAACCGCCCATTACAAGCGGTCTGGGACTATGCGAAGTTTCAGCAGACTGCAACGCTCTCTATATATTCATGTACAGTCAGTGCATAACCTGCCTCAGCGAATTGTTATTGTTATGAAAGTGCGTAAAAATGTAAAGTTCCAGAAGAGCGATGACGAATGAACGACGTATAATCTCACGATGTTACCGAATCCAACCAACCAAAAAAGGTGCCTCTTGAACAACAGTATAATGAGCTCACCCGTAAGAGAAGCCTCATCGCCGGCCCGAAAATCAAGGAGAAATCTTCCTGGGGAACGTTTTGCTTCTTCCAGTAGTTTCGGTTCCTGCCAACGTACCTGGCAATAAAGGAAGTTTCTCGTGAATTGGCACGAACTACACATGGTGTTAAGGACACTTAGTCTGTTGTATAACACTCCGTGCATTTTGTGCCCACGCTTCTTTTGCTTACGAGGAATGAACATCTTCGTTGAAATGAAGACGTATTGTTGAGTCAGTGCAAGCCAGACTCAACGCAAGACAAGAGTGAGTTTTGAAATTAATACTTCTGATAGTTACGTCATCGCTGCTACGTGATGAATGTTCAACTTCAGGGCAACTTTTCAAATAGAGATGACGACAAAAAGTAATATCACAAGAAAACCAACAGTAACCAAAACAACAACAACAACAACAACAACAACAACTATTAGTACTACCACTATTATTATTACTACTGTTACTTCTACTAACAATAGTGCTGATACAACCACAACGACCCATAGATGGGAGAGGGGAGGAGCCGGAAGAGACTTACAAGTATAGCAGAATGAACGCTGTTGCCGCAAGCAGCAGCCAGTCGGGTAGACCGATCAGCTCCATCGCGTCGTCCTGCGGAGTATCGAGCACTTTCGAGGTTGACTCCACGACCTGACTCGGACGCAAGAGCAACTCAAACAAGGAAGGCCGCGCTATTCCGTACGACTGCGAAGTACCGTTTGCGAAGCGCCCCCTCAAAAC